AAATCCACGATCTTATCAAAAATTGTCAACATCTGATCTGGCTTTGGCTGCTGGGTTCTGTGGGGTCTGTTCCATTGGAGCAGCAGGTTCAACTGAAAACGTTTGCCAAAAAACTGAATCACAAAACAGAGACAGGAGCGAAAATTTTTACTTATAGTAAAACTTCAGTTAAAATTTTTGTTAAAAGTGCAGATATTTGCTAGATCAGCATGAAGGATTGTGCTTTAGCTTTATTTTTAAAGGCAGTCCTTGGAAGAATGTATGCTACTGTTACATAAACCAACCCATATTTTCAGTGTAGTGCCTGGCCTCCCTTTCTTCCTTCCCACAACCTTTCTGTGTTTCATTATTTTAGGAGCATGTACTCAGTCTGGAAATCACTTTTAGAAGGCACGATGCAAGTGGCCCAATCCCGACTCAATATCTGTGAGAACTATAAAAACTTAATTTCTGAACCAGCCAGGACTGTACGGTGCTTTAAGGAACAGCAGTTGAAGAAGGTATTTGCGCTTTAATAACTTCTTCAAACTTTTGTTGTTTTTATTGAGAAAAAATGGTTATTAGAAACCTTTTAGTATGGCACTTCTAAAATACGTATGTACTTTCCAGTCTCTTCCTGTGCATGTTGTTATAAAAGTAAATAGCCAGGTTGTTGAAGATCTGAGCTATGTAATCTGAAATTAAAATTGCTTGGAAATGAGTCTTTTAAAATGTGATACACAGTTGGTCAAAACTATCTCACATCATGCTGTGGCAGTTACGCTGAATTGGTTTTGCAGTGACAATTGCGAGTGGGTTTTGTTAGAATAGGTTCTGATTTTAAGAAAAGGCATATCTTAAACCTGAAGGCATGACTTGGGCAATCTTCAAGATGTGGAATGCAGGTTATCCAGCCACCTCCTGTAAAGGTACCGCAAATAAGTATTCCAAAAGCTGCTATAACTGATCTATTAATCCATGCAAAGAAACTAGCGTAGTTCAAGGAAAAAAGTAAGCTTGGCTTTCATTTAATTGGTTGTTACATTTTAAAGTCATTTATGTCTTAAGGGGTCTCTACCGTACCTCTTAATACAGAATGTGTTTCAAATAAAATGCGATGTTCCATCTGTTCCCTTAAGGTAGTAAGACACATTTTAAAAATACAGTGATGTGTATTTATGTAAAGCTAAGTACTCGTCATATTCTAATTATTTTGTGTTTGTGTTCTGTGGATTTTGCTGCGAGGAGAAAGCCTCCTGTTTTAAAGAGTGAGCATAGTTTACAAACAGTCACTACTGCACCAAACATAAATTTTTGGAAGTTTTCAAGAATGATCTTTTGAAATGCTTGTTATGTGGCTTGGGCAAAACGTAACATGAGGAGGGAAATAGAAATGCTGGTGGAACACACTTTGCAAGTGTCTCAGATATTAGTTGGTAGTTGTAAATATTCCTTCCGTACATTATCATCGAGCATTTATTAACATTGCCTCTGGGTTTAATTTGAAGTAGGCTGAATGATCCATTCAAGATAAAAGACAAAAAAAACCCCAAACAACACAGCGTTTCAGTTTTGTTTGCTGAAAAGTGACGACAACTAACTGTAACTTACCTAGTTGTGTGTTCTAGAGTAGTGTTTTGTAAAATACTTGGCTACAAACTTTTAAATAGATGTTAGCGTAACATGAGCTCACAGTTTCTGAACAAATGACTATACAGCTCCTAGAAGTGTGTGTAATATATGTTTTTCTGGAGGAAAAATGAACTTTTTTAATGGTGGTGTTTTATTATCCTGTGGAATTTTGTTTTTCTATGAAGCTTTCCAAACAATGCTGTAGCAATTTTATAGTATCTTTACGGGGTAAATAATCTCCAGTTTTATTCTTCTGCAGATGCTGATAGTTCAGTGTTTATGAGTCAACAGTAGAAGTGGGGAACCACTTCTTTAAATTTATATAAACGATAAAGGTTCCTTTTTTCCTGCATTTTTGAATTAGCAGAACAAGTTATTGCAATTATCAGGGCAGTACTTCTGGTTCAAAGTATTCTAACAGCAATATGCTTTTTCTACAACATGGAATAACCATCCACTTGATGATATTAGTTTTCCTCCACAACAATTTTATTGTTTTTATACAGTGCAGTCTCTCACCCTTTCCTTTGGATTTCCAAACAGGTAAATAATATATTGAGCTGACCTCCATCCAGACAAAAGCATAGCAAAACTGAAATTCAGAGTCAGTAAAATACTTATCATAGAATCATAGAATCATTAAGGTTGGAAAAGACCTCCAAGATCATCGACTCCAACCATCGACCCAACACCCCCAGGCCTACTTAACCACGTCCCTAAGTGCCTCATCTACCCGTCTTTTAAATACCTCCAGGGATGGTGACTCAACCACTTCCCTGACTGAGCCCTGGGGAACACCGCTCGTGACCGGCCGCCAACTGGATTGAACTCCATTTACCACAACTCTCTGGGCCCGGCCATCCAGCCAGTTTTTGACCCAGCGCAGAGTACACCTGTCTAAGCCGTGAGCCGCCAGCTTCTCTAGGAGAATGCTGTGGGAGACGGTGTCAAAGGCCTTACTGAAGTCCAGGTAGACCACATCCACAGCCTTTCCCTCGTCCACTAGGCGGGTCACCTGGTCATAGAAGGAGATCAGGTTGGTCAAACAGGACCTGCCTTCCATGAACCCGTGTTGGCAAAGAGAACTGTGCCAAAACTGAACACAGTATTCGAGGTGCGGCCTCACCAGTGCCGAGTACAGGGGCACGATCACTGCCCTGCTCCTGCTGGCCACACCATTTCTGATACAGGCCAGGATGCCATTGGCCTTCTTGGCCGCCTGGGCACACTGCCGGCTCATGTTCAGCCGGCTGTCGACCAGCACCCCCAGGTCCTTTTCCGCCAGGCAGCT